TAAATSTTCAAAGGGTAAATTATTTCTACGCAAATGTTGGTTTCTCAAAAATATTCTAATTATCCACCATTTTTGAATTTACATTGATATTTTTCTGTAATGTTTACAGAGAAGTCACTTTACAATAATGTAATCGGACCTCTTTTTGTCCTTAGATCAGGGCTRYTCAGCTAAATTTCTCAGGGGGCTCAACCCCAAAAGTTCAAGGGCTTCAGGGGTCAGTGGTGGTGGTGGGGGATAATATAGGCACTGCATTATGTAAAACAAGTATTATTACTTTTTAATAAGTTTATTGGGGCTGCACAATATTAGAAAATCCTGCGATGCCGATAAAATTWGAAAATATTGSRATGACGAAATCAGGTGCRATATACATCTTTTTTTCTTTGCTCCCTTTCTGAGAAGGGACTGAGAAACAGCTTCGCTCCAGAAGCTGTGGGACTCTTAAACTCTTAAAACCACATAATGGAACACAAGACCTCAAAACAAAACAAAAACAAACAAAAAATAAAAAAAACCGTCTCTGCACATTCAGTGCATGTGTGTTCGCAATTTTGGCATTGTTGCACACATTTTATATCTGATTTTTTTATTATTTATTTTTGTAAATCTTTGTAATTTGTAATCTTTGAGTACATTTATTTGTTTTGTCTATATTTTTGGATAGACCAGGAGCTTGGGTACAAAATTTCATTCCACCACACGWATGTGTGTTGCGAATGACAATAAACCTTCCTTGAATCCTTAAAATCTGTACTTGCTGCTTCATGTGACCTTTAGCATTTTTGGCAAGGCCATTTGTGTCTGACGTGAGCTTTTTCTGCCATGAGATTCTGTCCTACTGGCTAAACGTTGCATTAGCATGAAAAATACAACTTCTTAACTCTTGAAAGTTGTTTAGTTTTTAGGGTATGGGGGTGGTGTCACCAGCCCACGAGCAACCAGTTGAATAGTCCTACCTTAGTTTATTTGCTTGAACARAGAGATGTTTGCTCTGCTTTATTCAAGGCAATGTTCTTTATCAATCTTTTTAGTTTTTTTAAGTTACAGGGTACAACAATGTTTAGTTGAGCAGCACAAACACAAGCATGTAATCTATCAATGGGGTTGTAGTAAGGGTGCACCAAAAAAGCAATTTTACATCAGAATCATGATTCTCACATACAAAGATTCACAATAGATTTAAAATGTCCCAAAATCGATTTTTATGAATAAAATAAATAAAGCATATCCAATGGCCATCAGCCTCCAYTTTGTAACTACATGGGACATCATGACGTCATCACGCAGCTGCTTCTGGAACATGAATGTGCAGAAAGCACCAAAACAGAGACAAAACTACAGAACTGGAGGAAAGCAAGCTTCAACTGACCCCTGTCTTCATTGAATGCAAAGATTTAGGCTCATTTTGGTTTTTACTGAAKGAGTCCGAGTTTGACATGAGCTTCACTTTGTGCAAGGTTTGCAAAAKGAAGATGAAGCACTTTGGAAACACGACAAATGGGCTCACATTATCAGTTTTGAATGAAAATCGATTTGGAACCGAATCGTGGCCCCAAAAGTCTGAATCGAATCGAATCATGAGAGAGTAGAAGATTCCCACCTCTAGGTTGTAGGTTAGGTAGGAGGTGGGATTATGACATCATTGTTTTCCAAAAGGTTTTGTTTAGGCTGTCCACACTAGAACACGTTGTTCTTTAAGGACTTTCGCACCTCGTAATTTGTTTTCTAAAACGCTGTTTTCAGTTAGACAGGGCTTTAAWATCACAATGTTTCACTGTGAACAAGACAACTAAGTGACATGTTCTCTATTTTTAAAGAAGCTGTAAACGGTTTTGTTAGTTAATGAGAATCTGAGGCTGCCGTTGTAATGTTTCAGGCATCCATAATGTAGAAATCTGCTGGGAATAAAGCTAAGATCCAACTTAAATGAGAAAATAAATTGATAGTCAAATTGCATGTGGGTCATATCTCCACTTATGGGAACTCAGATCTGCTTTTAGTTGCCAAAGTAATGGACAGAGGAAAAAAAAAACTATTCACAGTTAAGTTGGCATTGCTTCATATGTTGTGTGTTTTACAATTGAATTCAAAAATTACAAAGTGCATTTTGAAATCTATCTCTGCCTCTGTTTCCTCTCCCTTCCCTTCACGTCTCTCCCAGACACAAAGACGATAAACACACCTATTACCCACAATGCATCTGCTATATTCTACTAGTAAAGCAGGTAAATTAAATCTGTAGCTCTATCTTCCAAGATGCTGGCCGGCAGCCAGATCAGCTCAGCATCTCTTTCTGTTTCCAGGCACTGTGAACAAATTTGCAGGCTTTTAGAGACTCGATGTCACTAGACGCATAGTGACACTTAGTAGCATCAGAAAAAGTAGCTTATGCAACCGCAGAGGACAGGGGGGGAAAGTGAAATGAAAGCTGACATTATTATCTACTATCTCTTTCTTCAGATAGGGAGATGAAACAGAACCCCCTCTTTATGATTTGGCTGGCAGGGTTTCTGAGGTGCTTAAAGGTAAGAGATCAGYGATGCTTGCATGTGATCAGTGCTGGTGTTTGTGGAGACCTGCAGGAAGATGGGAAACTAGAGAAGGGCWGCATTACCTGGTCGACCTTATGTGACCATTAAAGGGATCCCTGATTAGTTGYAACATTAGACTTTGTTTGATAAACATAYATTTTAACTGTAAAATAAAGACTGTAAAAATACTGTAGACTGTTTAGTTTTGTAAATTTTTAAAAATATATTTTTACATGGACAGAACCGTTTTTTTTACAAGCAAAGCATTCTGGGTAAATGATGACATGGATAGGTCCTCGGTACAAGGCTGCTGGTTTCATTTAAAAGAGTCGATTATCAGATATTGTCCAAGATTAACCTTCAGGGTGGATATAGCTCGCTAGCAGCCTCGCACCGAGGACCTATCCACGCCATCATTTACCCAGAATGCTTTGCGTGTAAATAAAATGGCCCCTCCCGTGTTAAAATATGTTTTTAAACTTTTAGTTCAAAAATTATTAAAACTAAACAGCYTACAGTATTTTTACAGTCTTTATTTTACAGTTAAAATATATGTTTATCAAATAAAGTCTAATGTTACAACTAATCAGGGATCCCTTTAAGAAAAGATCACAGCTTACTTCAGTTCCAGGGATGAATTGAGGATATTTTCCTGCCTTTGAGCAATCTGCCKGTTTTTGAAGCTGTTTTTCAGAGGAGATACAATAGTTTTGTATTTTAGAACTAGTCTGATTGAATGACAGGATGACAGGTTTATTTAAACGCTAATTGAACGGCACGTTTCACAAGCAGCCGCCTCCTCTAGATGTTGAATTTACTAAAGCTYTATTAAAATAGWAAAGTAAATCCTGTGTCGATGTACCATTGTTTGACCAATACCTCAGTGGAATAGGCTGAAATGTCACAAAGCTAATCAGCACAATCTGATTATTATAAAAAACATTTCCAAGATAATGGCCATGGTGTAAAATATGAAAGAAAAAAAACCCGGAGTGTGCAATTTAATCATAGCTATTGCAGGAACTTCCTGTTCGTTTTGTGTGTGGTTCCTGGCAAACTGAGCAAAGGAAACTGCATTCAGAAGCTACATTCAAAAGGCTTTGGAGCTTTCAGTTCAGCCTTTTTTTGCATTTAGCAGTTCATGTTTGTGAGATGTTCAGAAGCTATTGTGATGCAAATAAGTGTGCCTGCTGATCACGGACAATCTTTGGTTGCACAGTTTATATTRTAAAAACGCCAAGCCTACGGCCGGCGCTACATCTGCTCCACGTTGTGTTAAGTAGCTTTCATTGTCGCCGCAGCGATCGCTCTGCATATCCACATCACTGTCAGAATCATGTTCCTTTTTTTTGAAAAGCCATCAGGATTCGTCTCTGTCAACCGCCTGTCCCTCAGTCCATTAAAGATGATTGATAGAAGTGGAAAATCTTCCGCCCAGCTGTTGTCGTTGACTCATCTTGAAGAAATTGAAAGGAGCTCAAAAAGGACCATCCCTCATCAAAAGACCTTTTGTCTGTGTTCACGATGCGAGGCAACGCTCGCTTTTGGAGCTAGTGTATAACAAATCTATAGCCCATTTTTTYCCCCTGACTCTGCACATGAAAGATTAGCAGATGAAGATACGGATTAGAGGCATGTTTTGCATTTTTTCAGAACATCAGAGGAACATCCTGCAGGCGATTTTAACCCTTCCATGTTTTGGGTTTTCTTGGGGGCTTTTGTTGCCTCCCAAAAAAAAGACCTGTTCGCCCAAATACTTCTGTTCCTGGTTCTGTTATCTTCTAGTGGTTTGTGAGGATTTTTACAGGACAACTTGAGGAGGATTTTATGATATTTCTGTGTGATTGATAACATGCTCTTGGAGGAATGTCAGGCTTTCAGAGAAAGATAATGTGGATTTCTATCTCCCTGCCTTCTTGCGTAAGACATGCCATCAATCAAGTGCATCACGTCCTTAACCTGGTAAAATTAAAACCTTTTTTTGGGGTGGGGGGAAGCGGGGTGATGATGCACTCGGGGTCTCCGTAGAACCAGGCCACACACGTCAACACTGAACAGGACAGAATCAGAACACAGATCTGAATCACACACAAAACAAGGCAGACAATACAGTTAATGATCTGACTCTATATTGCTGTTGACAGAGGAGAAGGATTACAGGAAGAACAGTCTCATTTTCACCCAGCACCGAGGCGTTATTAGATCCTAGCCCATCTAATTTCATTCTGAAGGTTGTCAATATTTACCAGCAACAGGCACAGCACACTGTAGCAGACCCAGTCTCCCTTCAGGGAGAAAAACCAGAGCCAGGGAGATAAATTTAACATGTAAAGATTCAGTTTCCAGATTCAACCACGATAATTTTCAGTGGATTTTTTTTTACCACCCCTAGCATGTCTGAGATATGTGATTCTGCTTGTTCTTATGTTTCTCCTCAAGTTTTTTTTAAATTTGTCTGTCTTTCAGTTGACGGCTGCATACACAAAGCGGCAGGTTCCTGTCTGTACGACGAGTGYCACTCACTAAATGGCTGCGAAACCGGGCAAGCCAAGATCACCTGCGGCTACGATCTGCCTGCAAAATGTGAGTACCGCTGATTATCAGCTTGGATTGCTTTGTAAAGTGTACACCTGTGCCTCACAGAAAATACTTTATCAGCTGCTTTACCATCAGGGGCGGAGCCAGAGGGGTGGCCAGGGTGGGGAGCGCCACCCTCTAGCACCTGATTGGCCACCCTCAAATGATTGACAAGTGAGGTGGGGATCATGTGGCATTTCAAAAATAGGCAGTTAGAATAAAAAAAGAGTAAATATTTTGTCAAGCAGCTGTATTGTCTGGTGTGGAGAGAACCTACCAGTGTGATGAAGAAAATAAACAACTTTCTAAAATAAACCAACAATTGTGTGTGATAGTCCTGGGTTTACGATCCAGTGAATAAAATTTGGGCAACGTCATAAGGATATGGAGCAACTAGAAAAGTTCCTCGAGAAACTTTGACTGACATGTAGGTTTCATTTTAAATTTAGGGTTTGACTGTACTATTAGCGATTGCAGCTCCTACCACAACAGATTTAATCCAAATTTAGCTTTGGTGGCCATYTTGGATTTTGTATTTGCATCAAGGTTTTGTTAAAGATWATTCTCAGCTTCTACTATGTAAAATTTAAACTGTGTATGTTGAAAAATGACCAAATTRTAGCCCTTTGCTAATCTTAATTTAAGCTAACKGCTAATGCTAAATMTAAATTTTCAATCAGGATAAGTTTTGGATCATCTTTAGCTACACCACAACAAATTTCAGCTCAATAAGTCTTAAAATGATTGAATTATTATTATGTAAAGTTAGTTGTGGTGGCCATGTTGAATTTTTGATTAGCATTTAAAATTTTGTAAAGATTATTTTACACTACTACTACGCTAATGTTCAATTTTGTTTGTCAAAAAATGGCTTTATAACTATTTGGAAAATTAGCATTAATGGTTCGCTTGAAATTGTAACTAGCATTACTTTTGGATCATTTGCTGCAATAACTTAAAATATTAAAACAGCTGAAGTAGAGACATTTGATATTAGCTGTAGTGGACATTTTGAATTTTTAAATCTAGAGTAGTTTTTATTTATTTATTTTTAATGTGCCCCCCCAGAATACACCTTGGCCACCCCTTGCAAAAAGTCTAGCTCTGCCCCTGTTTACCATTAAGACCTTCATCAACTAAAGGTCASAGAAAAGAGAAATTTGAAGGTAAACTGTAGAATCTACAACATTAGAACTCATAAATMAGCTACCATTAAGGTATTTATTGTCCCATTGCTATTAAGTGTTAACTGTTATTTTACAATGAACTGGTTAAAACTGGCAGGTGAGTCCACTAATATTGTAGTTTTTACATTTCCGTGATGTAAAAATCTACWGGTATCAMTGAAAATCTTCCATCTTGAAGGCAACATTAGGTACTTCGTCATCACGGTGTGCTGTAATGCTGCCATCACCGACATGTGAATGACCTTTTCTATGCTGCTGATAACACACCATACCATCATAAAGCCTGGCTTTTAGACTCGCCACTGATAACGGTACTTTTCTTCTTTCGTGTGAAGCGTATGACATCTATTTCCAAATAAACAAACCAAAAAAAAAAAAAATGTCCTGAATACTGATGTCTGTTCAAAACACACATTTCCACTCCACAATGATTCTTTATAGATGCTTATTTTGAACAAGGTTGAGGTAAAACAGTTTTATAAACATTATTTTTGTACCAAATTCTAATTACAATCAATTGTTGCATAACCTGATTGAATTATAAGCACTTTTCTGAATTTAATAAGCCTTCTCTCCTTTTTTTTCTGATGCAGAATAATGTTTTGGGTTTGTATTAATTAAAAAAGGCTGTATTCTGTTATATAYGTATATTGTCATAACTGATAAATTGACTGAGGCCTTTGGTGTCCAGATAAAGGAATTAAGTTGAAATTAGTTAGATTTTTCATGTTCCTTTTTTCCAAAAAGAGATAAAAAGCTTTGTTATTTAGAGGATAATTAACATGTTTGTTTCTTGTTGTGTTGTTGGATGGGAGTGTCATTTGCTCACATTAAGAGACTATTAGTTGCCTAATTTGATAGATTTCTCATCCTTGATGTWTTCTATTAACAAATCAAACACTTTTCTCCTTCATGCAGTGAAGAATAAGAAATGAGGCTGCACTTCTCTCATTTTTATGTCTAAGTTCAGAGAATGAAAAATGAAACTGTATTGATTCCGAAGAACATTTGGCATATTTGTGCATCATTATCATTATATCACATGGTGACTTGTTGGGACTTACAACGAACTTATTGCTTTACAAACTTGAATAGGAAAAAAAAGGCAAGATTGAAGAGATGTCAGTTGGTGTAATTCGGTCGAGACRAGCGTCCCAGAAGTCCTAACCTAACCCTGAAGGATTTCTGTGAGACAGCCAAGAGAAGACATTGAGGTGCAGATGAAATTAGGTTGTGTTAATATGGTATGTCATAAAGATGTCAAACAAATGGAGCAGATAAACTGTGAGACGGTCTTGTGGGCAGCCAGTTCAAGTGTGCTCAGCTCCAAAGCTGGTTACACCATGACAATTTAATAACCTGCAGTGTCACATGGTAGCAATCACACCGACATTAGCTGCTGTTGTTGTAATTATCTCCAAACCAAAAAAATCCTTTCTGTTAGGGTAACTTGTTAAAGGCTGTGAAGTTCCTTTTTTTTAAAAATCCAGATATATTTCCTCTCAGGTGGTTTCATTTGTCAGCTCTGATCAGTGTCATCATGTTTTCTCTTTTCTGTTCTGGGAAACAAAGACAACCCCCCACTACTTTTGAGTGAACACTCAAGTTCTAATAATCTTTTATTGGATTTTTTTTAATCATTCGTTTGTCCAACCTACATACAAAGCATCAATTTGGCTTAACTACAAACAACATTTTATTCTCTGCATGAAGTTCAAATAATAGTATGTCCTCCCTCTCACCACTGAACAGAAAAACAAAAGTTTTTTATTATTTGAAACTTGTCTAAAAATTGGATCACACATGCAAAACAAAACTTGTTTAGTCGTGTATTTATTAAATCATTTGAGACAGTTGGAAACAAAACCTTTTTTTTAAATGTTCAATTTTTTTTCTTTGTTCTTTTTAACTGGAACAGAGAAGTTTAAATCAAACTTTAAGGTGCAGAACAAACTTTGTTCTGGTGGTATTTAAACATGCTTTTTATACNGACATTTGTTCTCATCTTGCAGAAATTTTGAGGCTTTATTATTTGAAAATGTTTGTTTACTTAGCTAAGATTATAATTGTCATCCATTTAATTAATTCTACTTAAACCATTTTTTAATAACCATTTTCTAAGTCAATGAAATGTTCACTTTGTAATAAAAACCTGTTGCAGCTCATCTTAAATCAGAGTTTTTGTTTGGAGGTTAGATCTGCTGAGGCAGTGGAAAATGACCGGGCTGACCATCTTTTCTGTCCTTTATTTTTTTTTGCCCTCTCTCTTTTTTAAAGACAAGAAAATTACTCTCCATTACATCTCACTAAGCAGTTTAGGCTGCGAATCCCAGCGGCAAAATGAGCCTTTTCTTTAAGAGGTCTGTGCACATGTGCAGCTTATTATTATAGAGCCGGCCCAGGATTATTAATCAGTGTTAGTAATTACCCACCTACCATAGCAAAAGGACTCAAAAATGGTCTGCTACATCAATCTAGTGAAGAATTTGTCTATTTGTCCTCCTGTTGGACAGGACGCTCATCTGTTAGTAGTCAAGRGTGGTAATGGAGGTCACCTGTGCACAACTCTTTGGTTTTAAATATTTCATATTGAAAACGTGATAAATCAATACATTTAGATAGTCGTCATTATGTGTCGCAGTCTTTCCTTTTCCTCTGCCCCATAATAACTGCACACAAGTCTGAGTAAAATTTGATCAAATTTCTTCTGTTTTGCATGTTTTTGTTGCTAACAAGTGGAGACTTCACTGGTTCTGCTTGAGTTGCTGCTAAATTTTGTCCACAAAAGTTCTGGATATATTCTTTATTTGTTTTTTATTTTGATAGTTATGAGGCATAATCATAATTTGCTCATCCTTTTAGTCATCTCTGTTTTTTTTAGCTTTAGAGAGAGTGTTAAAAGTGAAAGATCGATGACTAAAATCTAAAGATTTGTTATTGTAAGGTTGGATTTGGTCAAATATATAAACTTTCTATCTTCTCTCTTAGTTAAAAACACTAAATGGGAAACGTCAGGATTTGTATTCAGTCATCCAAAGTTGGGCAGTAATTTGAATGTGTGACACATCAGAGGGTGATGTGTGCAGACTAAAGACTGAATCCTGTCATTATTATGCTGCTCCACAGATCCACGCTAATAACGTTTAGCCACGACCTGCTGGGTTAATCTGCTCCTGCACACATCAGCCCGAGCTGTCACAGTCCACCCAGGATGTATTTAGGGTTCAGACTGAAGGTCCGTGTGAGAAAGTTAACGCTCCAGAGCAGCTCTTAGATGGAGCTTCTCTGTTCTCRCTCCCCCGGTTTTATCTGAAATCTTTTACCCAGTTTTGTCTCTCTCCCTAGGGCAGCTGTAGATTGGCAGTTCAAWAAGGCTGTGCTGTTTATTGTTTTTCTTTCTTTTTTCTTTTTTCCCCTCCCTTAGCCGCTCGTTTTTGAGCTCCAAGTAAATGCTTTAAATAATAAATTGTATTTAGWAACGAGACAGAGAGACCAGCACTTTGTTTCATTGTGTTGCTGTCACACCAGTGGCCTCTTTTTAATTTTATTCTTTAATTATTTGYGAAAACTTCCAACTTGCGCTTCAAGTTTAAACAAATGAAAAATCGGTGTTACTTTTAAATAAATGATATCTGTATTAAAATGATGTACCTAAATATTCTGTTTACTGATTCTGAATTTTCACTCAAACTAGTCGGCAGGGSCGGAACTAGACTTTTTGCAAGGGGTGGCCAAGGGGTTTTTAGGGGGGCACATTCAATTAAAAAAAGAACTCTGGATTTGAAAATTCAATATGGCCTCCACAGCTTATTCCAAGTG